AATCAAATAATTGAATCTAATTTATCGTCCATGTTTCATATTTTGATGGTTATGTGCATCTGAACAAATAGAAATATAGGTGCAGGATGCCTGACTGCCCTCTAGGAACTAGATTAGTGATGTTAACAGTTGGGAGAGTACTGTCTCTCCATAGTACTGTCACATTACGATTTCAGTTGCACGTACGGTGACCAGTCTCCTGGTTTGTCCAGGAATGAGGGAATTCCCAGGGCTCAAGCATTTCAATGCTAACATCAGACAGCCCTGAGCAAATGTGGACATTTACTCTCCCTGGTCATAAGGAATAGGGAGGTATTTTAGCTGTGCTTTTACATTAAATACTCAGTAATGGACAGTTGTTACTAAGTTGCATTTTTTCAGGCATAGGCCAAATTTAAAGTTTCTCCTGGGCTGCTTGGAGAGAGTTTTTGGTGCTGCTTGTTGGCCTTAATGTGTTTGTTTGCCCTATTTTATGTATTTGTTTGCAGGACGCTGCATAACGCTGTGTTTTAGCAGAAAGGTCCTCTTTCACTTTAGGAAGCTCAAACTGTTTGTAACCAGTCAATTCCTTGTAGAGTGATTTACTAGTAATCTTGTTAGTGTCATCATGAATTATCCATTCAGTGTAATTTTGTAAAACTGTTAAATAGCTGGTTCCAGTAAGGACCATCCACTAAAAGAGATGAACATATACCCAATTTTTCCTAGTTACAGCTTCTTATGCCCAGAAACTTCTATTTTTTTTTTTCCTGCTGAGCTTTCCAGCTTATCTTTAGAATAGAGTCTTTTAGGCCTCCTAGCTAAAGCTGTTGTGTATGTTAAATGAATCTGCTTTCAAACTACGCAATTACCTACTTGTGTGCCTAACGATTATCTTCTCTCAGCACTTCTGGTCTCATCAGAAAATGAGAATATACCTGCCAGAGAGTATTAACTACTTTCCTGTGTTCTCTTGTCCATCTGACTATTCCAAGCAGGGAAGCCTTTGGATACTTTTGAATAAAAACTAGCTGTACTTCTGGTGCAAGATGAAACGGCTTTCCTGAGCTTACGTGCATACATGAGGCTATGTGTGAGACCTCAGTTGATATCTTATACCTATCAAAATGTAAACAGCCCTGAACTCTAAAGGAACAGATATAACGGTAGGCAAGTTTTGCAAACTTCCTTTATTGAAACAGAGCTTGTCCTGCCTCACTCCACTAAAAAACAAATTTACTTTCCGAAATGTACTCCAGTAACTTTGCTTCAAGATCTTTAATTATTCCATATACGTACTTTGTTCCCTCAATATGTTTTTAATATTTGATTTTTGAATTTTAACTAAGGTTAAAACTGAATTGAATGTGTCTGCCTCCACTCTTAGGAATGAAAAATTCTATTTGAACTGGTCAGGATTCCTGTTCACACCAATGTTCATAGTGCTCTGACTTCATGCAATTCTGCATTTTACACAGTGCTTGCATAGAGAGGCTTCCTCTTGATCATCATAAAATTATATTCAGGCTCAGCTTTTGCTCTGAACTGGGCATGAGAAATGTGCATAAGTAAGATTACTTTCTTTATGGAATGGCCGTATCGTAACCAACCATTTGTACGGTATATTTGCTATAATTGTACATTGTAAAATGTGAATATTGGCTCTGTCCTTGAATAAATTTCAAATGTTAAGGGTGACTTTACAGAAATCAGTAATAAAAAGAACAGGTCTCTTAATTTCCCCTTACAATTCCCCAGTAAACACTTTATGACACTTGGTGAATTAAATAACATTTCTCTTCTCGGTACCATTCATTCATTTCACAAATATTGATGAAAGCCCTGCTCCAAGCCAGGCATTTCACAGCCCCTGGAGAGACTCATACTCTGAACCCTTGGGAGCCCCTCAGGATAACAGTAGATGAGCAAGACAGACTTGACTCAAATGGTCACCCAAAAAGTCAATGTTTCTCTCTTTATAGGTCATTTTGAGTATGAAAATTTTATGTAAAAAATTGCCAGTGCTTCCAAACTGCTTAATGGCTCTTTCCCCTATTGACACCAGATTTTGAGGGAGTTCATCTGCCCAACACATTTATTGTGCAATTTCCCTTATTGACATATTGACCTTCATTGATCTACTCAGCAACCAGTTTTCTTGTTTATTAATATCATATTAGTATGAAGGTTTTTTTTTTCATTGATCAGTCTGCAGTTTAACTGTAGCTAGTCAGCCTCTTTTCTAAGCATCTAGTTTGAGTGTTTCATGAACAGACATTGTCTCTGGAGGGTAGAAATTGAATTGGAAAAGGAAACAAATTTATGGCCTTCATAAAGTCTCAAGGTGCGTTTCTACTTAACTCAAGTGGTTGTTTAACAGGCATGAAGTGTTTGCTGTATCTGATTGTTCATGTTAATTTATGTCCTCTTGGTTGTTACGTGGACAGTTATGGAGGAGGGGAGGTGGAAATAGGAGCCAGTGCAGCTGAGTGCAAGCGTGGGCGCTCAGGTGGGGCACGTACCTGGTATTGCAGTGACAGCTCAAAGCCCTTGCCCTCTCCAAGTCCCCACCTCCCTTCTCCATACCCCCAACATGCAATCAAATCTTTCATCTTATTTCCCTAAACTGAAATAAAATGATGAGTTGTGCTAGTTTAAAACCACTTGACCCTAGCATGGGGGATATTTAAGGACGATCGGAGGTAGAACTCCTGACATAACATCTTTCAATTTCAATTTCCCCGGGGTGGGGGAAAAATCCCATCGACTGTCCATGATGACCTGGTATAGGCTATATGGTTAAATGATGAGTAAGAATATAATGATTCTCATGATCTCCACAGTTTAGTTCCTTAAGCCCAAATTTGACGTTTCTTCTGCATCATGTGAGTACCTCTGTCCCTTTTTAATGAACCCTCATGATGTTAAGGAACTAAAACTAAATATTCAGAATTTTTCATAAAAGTTATCAACTTGTGATAAGGTTTTTGATAACTTTCATTTTGTTTACTCTTTTCTGGATAAGATGTTTTACAATGAATATGCTCACTTTTTAATTTAATAAAAATAATAATTACAGAAGTACATTTTATAAAACTCCTACCTATATCCGTGCCATAGCTAAGTAGGTTTACTTTTTTCATTTCATATGTCCTATCTGGCTAAGTACCTGTTATTAAAGTAAGGTGACCTTACATTATTATGGTTCTTTACACAGATTTTCTCACATGGAGCTTCATGAACTTAATAATGTAGATGACGTAGATCATAACATCCCAAAATAAGGAAAATGTGTATTATTTTTTCTTGTTTGCTGAGAATTATCAGCAAATAAGCATGAATAAGTCAGTATTTTTTCATCCTAGCACAATGTTCCTTTTTTATATACTATAATTTATTTGTCCTCTATGTGCATCAAGTTCTGTTAACTTAGAACACATAAAGAAACAAGACCCAGTTGCTGTCATCAAGCAGTTTATAATGCAGCTGGAGTAAAAAGACATATGCTGACAGAGAGAGTTAATTGGCAATGCAATTGATGGCACAGATAAAAAGTGCAGTGCCTGATAACAGTGTGTGACACATCAAAGGCATTCAAGAAATGATGGGATAGATGATGGATGGATGGGCAGAAGGGCAGATGGACTGACAAATTAATTAGTTACCAGAATAGAAAGGAGAAAAGTCCACTGGTCACAGATAGTCGAATTTCAGTAAATGTCTTTTGACTATTTCATGGGTCAGAGAGTACTTCAAGAAGGAAAAGATAGACTAGCCAGGCCTTCAGGAACTTATAAGAGTAGGGCTTAACTCTGCAGAGAGAAAGAAAGAGGGGTTGTGAGGCCAAGTGCTCAACCTGGACAACGGCAGGGGGGCAGAAAGAGTAGCTTCTGACTAGGGTCTCTGAGAGTGGCCTTCCTAAAGCAAAAGGTTTGGTGATGAGGTGGTTTTGCAGGTAGAATGGAACTAACTACATCTGAGCACACCTTGACCATCAAGCTAATGTATTTACGTAATCCATAAGCATGGGCAGCTATATAAATGTTTGCATAAAGTCATTCATGTGATAATAAAAAATGTTTTAGACAAAAACTGGAAATAGGACGTAGTGTTGAATATAAAGTTATAAGAGACAGTTCAATCAGAAGTGGAGATTTTAAGTGCCAACTGGAATTTTAAAGTATTTTTAGAAAGATCTGCTGCACATGTTTATATTACTGTATCAACAAGTATTCCTATATCTAATTGAAGTTTCTGAGACAGTTATGTCAAATTCAGCTTTAGATCAATAGGTATGCTAACTGAGAACCAAAAGATCCAAAGACTCGAAGCTGGCATGAAAGTCTAGAGGCCTCCAAATATTTCATGGATCAAGTTTGATAAATTTTGTATATGCTAGAAGAAAGGTAATAATTTATGTCTTCTAAGGTAGTCAGCTTAATTACTAGACATGTCAGAACATTGATATCTCTTGTATGTAAGTTCTTCTTGCGCTATGAGAAGTCATATACATTGCTACTTCTCTTTAAACCTATCAATTATTTTATCTTATGAAAACAGTGATGTCATCACTTAAATGCAAGTGATTAAACAGGGGGTGCCCTGGAGAAAAACTATGTGCATTAGAATCTAGTTCGACCAGTGACTTGCTAGTCAATCTTGGCCAAGTTTTTCTCTGTTCTTTAGTTTTCTCATTAATGAATGATGATGATAATAATGGCACTAACCTCTGAAGATTGTTGGGAGGACTAAATGTAAAACTGTAAACTAGTGCCTGACATGGAGTAACAATTCATAAATGATAGGCCTATTACTGGTAGTGATAGATAATCAATGAAAACTGTACATATGTCTTATTTTCTTGACATGATTATGTATTTGTTTTGCTGGATTTATTTCTCAAATCATTGCTGGAAAGTTAGCTAGGATCCCACAGGGGTGTCTCTGGGGTCTCCACTGAGTGACTTTGTAATTCGACATATGTAGCTTAGTGAAGCTGACCAGTCTCTTGCTTTCCACAGTGAGCCATCTATATGGATTTGGACTGATGGATGCAGAAGCCATGGTGATGGAGGCAGAGAAGTGGACCACCGTTCCCCGGCAGCATGTGTGTGTGGAGAGCACAGACCGACAAATCAAGTAATGCTTGCTGCTGGCAAACAGCATGACCATGCCCCAAACTACAGCAAGCCAGTAAATTGCTCAAGACAGCCCCTTGTTGCACACAGAAGCTGAAAGCTTCTGTAGTATCTCTCTAATGTGACTATGAAATGGTAATAGAATGACTAGGATTTTGAGCTATTAAATTGATACTAGTATAGCCCAAGAATCCTCCAAAGAAAAGCATCTTTTAAAAAGGGATTGGGGGATATGCTTACCTCTGGGCTATTGAAGGTTTTCTACTGTCACTATTTCTATTTGATGGTGCAAGTATTCTCCAGAAGTCAGTGTACTTTTAAAAACTGTAACTACTCTATACCGCGTAGTTATCCAAAGAGTGATGCAAAATGTACAGTCAATGAGATTGCAGTTTACTCACAGCTTTCAGGGCCTATTCCCCAGTTTTAGTGGCATAGACTTGGAGGCTGTGCTGACAAGGTTTGCCAACAGGATTCTATCTTAGTAGGCTTATTAGTGTTTTGCTCTTGGCTTTCTGTTCAGGGACTTTTCTCTCTGAAAAGTATTTTTGAACCTTGGCTAATGTTGAAACTAGAGACATTGTCATTCTTGAGAAAATGTGTTGGGAAGCAGAAGTAAACCAACTAAAGTTGTTTGAGTTTATTTTCATTCTACTCTTGTGGCAAAGAATGAGAGAGAAAAAACAAAAGGGTGGAAAGTTAACCAGTGTATGTTGAGCACTTACTATGGGCCACGCCAAGGGCTAGAGACTTCATGTATGTTTTCATGTTAAAGCTGTGTAACAACTTGGGCGTTATTCTCATTTGAAAAATGAGAAAATGGGATCAAAGGAATTATGTGTTTATTCATTCACAAACTCTTTCAGTAACTATTTTTCTCCCACTTACTGAAAATTAAGCACTGAGAAAAATATTAGGAATAAAAAGGAGAATAAGTAATACTTCCTACCCTTGTGGAGGTTACAGTCTAATGGAGGCATCACACCAAAAATATAATAAGTAAATAATTACAAATTACAATAAATGAATGTTGGAAATTTTAACAATGTAAAAAATAAGAGATGGGGGACATATTTTCACTGGTGGCTCGATGAAGGTCTCAGTGAGGGGAAATTTAAGCTTTGACCTTGAAGGAAGAAGAGTTAGCCATAGGGACATCAACAACAAAAAAAAAGTACTTCAAGCAGAGTAGTGTGTGCGAAGTCCCCAAGGTGGGAAACTTGAATTATCCCAGAGGTTGAACCTGATGCCATTGTGGCTGCAGCCCAGTGTTCAAGGGGAACTGTGGCACAGGAAGAAACTAGAGAGGAAAACAGGAACCCGTAGGCAAGAGGGAAGAATGTGCTGGCGGGTTACAGAGTGAGGAATGTGAACCCCCGTTATGCTAATCCCCAAGCCTCCACTGTACCACAGTACAGTGGTTCTCACAGTGTATCCCTATCACCTGGGAACTTGTTAGAAATGCAAATTCTTGAGATCCATCCCAGACCTACTCAATCATACACTCTGGGACCAGCAGTCTGTGTTTTAACAAGGTGATACCAATGCACACTCAAGTTTGAGATCTATTACCTTCATGAAGATGGAAGACCCTTGTTCCTTTTTCACCTCTCCCTTGCATCTTTCCCACTAACTGGTAATCCTTTCAGTGACCCAGTTATTTTGGTGATAGCACTGTTGTTTAGTATCCAGCTATCAGCTGCTTGTCTTACATTGTAAGTTTATTCCATGCCTCCAGCTTCACTCACCTGAGCTCTATGGTGTCATTTGCTCAAACTCCCTCTGTCTCTGTTACAGGACAATCCGCCCTAACAGTGCAGTGCGCTCCATCTACAAAGCTTCGGGCTGCTCGGATAACCCCAGCCGCCATGTCAACTACCTGGAGCATGTCGTTGTGCGCATCACCATCACCCACCCCAGGAGAGGAGACCTGGCCATCTACCTGACTTCGCCCTCGGGAACTAGGTCTCAACTTTTGGCCAACAGGTACAGCAGTGGTCTCTGCCCACCAGTGTAGTAGTCACAGTGACACTCGGCTATGCCTTAGGGAGAAGGGAACAACTGCTGCTTTCATCTACCCTGGGAACCAGCAGAGGGGGCACTTAGATGTCAGGATCTCACTGATCATAAGTAGAGAGTGTGAAGCTGCCTATAATCTGCAGACATGGAAAAGTGGGGCATTTAATAGTTGGCTAAGAAAAGGATGCAGGAGAAAAATTGAAGGCCACTTGTTCTTTATCCTACAAAAGAATTGCAGAACACTGACTCGTAAGCCCTCTGAGATCCCCTCCCCCACCATTAAGTATCTGCTGCCATTCGTTACAGATTAACCGAATTCTCTTGGCCAAGCACTTACTTTCAAAAGTTAAAGGAAATTCTAATTTTTTAAAGCAGGTGTTAACAAATTGTTTCTGCACAGAGCCAGGCAGTAAATGTGTGGAGCTATGTAAGCCCGGTCTTTATCCCAACCACTCTACTCTGCCATTCGAGTACAGAAGCCACCTAGACAATATAAATGAATAGGCATGCCTGTGTGCCAATCAGACTTTACTTACAGACAGGCAGCAGGCCAGATCTGGCCTGAGGATTATGGTTTGCTGACCCCTGTTTTTAAGGTTGACTCTTCAGTCTTTTGTTTTTTGTTTTTTTTGAGACGGAGTCTCACTCTATCTCTAGGCTGGAGTGCAATGGTGCAATCTTGGCTCACTGGAATCACCACCTCCCGGATTCAATCAATTCCTCTGGCTCAGCCTCCTGAGTAGCTGTGACTACAGCTACACCCCACCACACCTGGCTAGTTTTTTGTATTTTAGTAGAGATGGGGTTTCACCGTGTTGGCCAGGATGGTCTCGATCTCCTGACCTCATGATCCACCCGCCTCAGCCTCCTAAAGTGCTGGGATTACAGGCGTGAGCCACCGTGCCCAGCTGACTCTTCAGTCTTTACTGCCCTAGAGGGTATTCAGTTTCTCTTGTTAGCCTCTCCTCCCTGCTTCCTCCAAAACACTTCCCCAGCAGGTAAGTAACTGTATTTTGTACAGGCCAAGATCCTGCTGAGAGAATATGGCCAGAATGTTCTATCACACATTTTCTTTTGCTCCCTTGGCTTTTTGCGTGATTGGGAGCATGGGAGAAAGTTGTCAGCAAGTGGGACCGAAGAGGGGAGATGTCAGATCCTCATTCTCATGGTGGTTCTAAACGACAAACCACAGCCCAAAGCTTAAAGTTTCTTTGATGTTTTTTTTTTCTCCCAGAAGAACATTTAATGGGAGCAAAAACGTTCTTATCAGTGGCATATATAGTTCAAATGAAAGTCAACCTTTTATGTAGATATAGCCACTTGTCCACACACCAGGTGACCATGGCAGTGGTGATCTTTGTTAGAACACTAACAACAGGACAGAGGTGTTGAGAGGCAAGAGGCCCATGGAAGTCTGCACAGCCAACAGTGAGACTGAACTTGCCAGTTGCTTTTAAAAATCCCCAACCTCATCTACTATAGGACAGTGATAAAAGGAGAGAACAATAACTTTTCTGGCCTATAGCAACTAGGAGTACAGAATCTGAAATCTTTTTTTTTTTTTTTTGAGATGGAGTCTTGCTCTGTCACCCAGGCTGGAGTGCAGTGTTGGCACAATCTCGGCTCACCGCATCCTCCACCTCCCAGGTTCAAGTGATTCTCCTGCCTGAGCCTCCCCAGTAGTAACATTAGTTAAAATGTTACTAGTGATAATAAATTAATCAGAACTTTGGCCTCTGCCTTTGATCCTAGTTCCCGTAATCTCTTAAGTGCCAGGCTCAGATAATGTGGCCCTTGCAGGGTTTGGGCAGCTAGTCCTCTAACTATTTTCTACAGGTAAAATGTACAGCCATTACAGGCATACGCCACCACACCAAGATAATTTTTGTACTTTTAGTAGAGACGGGGTTTCACCATGTTGGCCAGGCTGGTCTTGAACTCCCAGTCTCAAGTGATCCTCTCACCTTGGCCTCCCCAAGTGCTGGGATTACAGGCATGAGCCACTGCACCCAGCCCAGAATCTGCAATCTTCATGTGCGTTTTATTTCTGTCTTAGACTTGCTGTGTTCTTTCAAATCTAACATCTTCCATTAATGTATGGGAAACCTGGGTTTAGTACTTTAAATGTGATGTGCAGCTTTGCTAGAGTGACTGTCTGCAGGTGCAAGGAACATAAAGATTCCTCAGCAGAGGATCCCTGGGCACTTCTTCATGTCCTCCTCCCACTGCAGACAAAGAGGCCCCGGCAGGCTGCCTGCAGGGTAATTTCAGCTACCTGCCTGAGGTTTCTTTCTAGCAAGCAGAACTTCAGATACACAATTACGTGATTAATGAAGGTCTCTCCAGCTGTTGTTACCGAAGCTAGGGAAGGCCTTTATTTCTTGCTTTTTTCTTCTTTTCTTTACCATTATTCATCTGGGTTTAACTTGAAAACGTATCCCGGTGAAACACTGTGAAGTGCAAAGGTTGGCTTCACATATGTGTGGATCGTGTTCCCCCGAGCCCCCTCCCTTGTAGAAAAACAGTCCCTCCGCTGTTGCTGTTTGCTTGAAACACTCAGCCACTTCAGCCTGTCTGGGCTCTTCCTGCATATTCTGCTATTTATTTTTGGCTTCCCCTGAAATGACGTCAGTGAGGAAACTTGTGAGCAGAGGAGCTATGGATTCCATCACAGGCATTTGGTGGATTGCAGTGTTGCTGGCTTCAGGCTCGCATGCATTCTTCAACAGCCGACATCTGCTTTGCTCTTTGCAAAGTGCTGAACACAAGAGTGCTGCGTGACTTGTGTCGGAGAAAAGAAACAGGCATTTCCGAGGCGCGGTGACCGGCGCTCCCATAGCGTACCTCAGTGTCCCTCATCAAGACCACCTGGGAATCAAGTTTGCTCCTGGAATGTGTCTTCTTGGTCTGGAGCAGTTTCTTTAAGTGCAGCTCTTGTTTATCCTCCATCCCAGTCCTTGAAATAAGTAGCCACCGAGGACAGGTAGACAGCCTGGAGATTGGAGGGGCCTGGAGACGCCAAGATATGTAAAGGATATTGTGAATTCATTTGTCTACAGGCTCCACAGAATTATTGCTCTTGAGCCGCTGACCCTTTCCATGTGAAACAGCTGCACCGGGTCCCAAAACCATGAATGGCCACCTTCCAAGGCCTGGCTCCCCCGTTCCCGCTGTGCTTGACACTGGTAGCGTCCCTCCTACCGAGGCAGCTAAGGAAAGACAGTTTCTTCTGGCACTCTTTCCATCGGAAGTACTCTGAAGCTTTCATTTCATTAGAGGAAACTTCTCCTCAAAACCTCTCAGTCTCTGACCTAGTGACAAGGAGGCCTCACGTCCTCTCCCCTTGGCCCCGTTTCGAAGCACATTCCCAGAATGGAGAGCTGGGAACAAGGGCATAGAAAGGGGTGGAGAGGAGGTGAAGCAAAGGCCTACTTTGCTCCTGGTGTCCTTCCTGTTGGTGTGCAAGGCAGTCCATCTCCGTGGTGGGGAAGAAAAATGAAGAGGTCAGGTTTTGAAGGAATTTGCCAGAGATGATTGGTAAGAGCAATACATATTTCCCCTGCCAGATCCTTGTCTTTTTTTTAGAGAAGTCAAGATTTCTCAGGAGGACCATGTAAAGCAAAGAATAAAGATTTTTTTTTTTTTTTAATAGAAATTCTGAAAAAGTTTAAAACAATGTTTCCCTAGCAGAGGTGGTTTGAGATGAAGACGTTGGCTTCTTGTGGCAGACTTTCCTCATTTTATCTGTCCTACCCCTCTGGGGGCGGGGGTGACTCTTTTCATCCAGAATTAGAATTTCCAACACTGCACACTTAACTAGCCTGGCAGCCAACGTGGAAAACTCCCCAAGGCCTTTGAAGCAGCTCCTCTGTTCCATGGCTTACTCACAGCAGACTGCGTGTTGGCTCCTGGGAGAAGGAACCAGAATCTGGAGGCTCACTTGGCATCACCTCTCCTTTGCAATGAAAAAACCAGAGACCAGACAGTAAGGATGAAGCAGAGGGGGAGAGTCCAGAGGATGGCGCTGTCCTTTTCAGTATTGACAAAATATACATCCTAGTCTGGGGACCTGAAACTATGGTCCCTACGTATGGTTGGCTTTCCAGAAGTCCTCATTTACCTAGACATTTCAGTGAGGAATTGCGTCAGAATCGTTTATCTCCTCACCACAGGAATTCCTTGAAAGTCTGTTTTCTGCGAAGTGCTGAACACGTTGATGTAGTCCGTGTGGGCCGTCTGGAGCCCCTCAGTGGCTCCCTGTCCTGGCTGACGGGCACTCGCCTGAACTCCTGTGGAGAACAGCTGTTGGAGGAGGAACAGTTTCCCCAAGCATCTGCAGGTGCTAAGCACTGGAAGGCACTCAGCAGCATTCAGAACTCCAGTCCAGCTTGAGCTCTGTGCCCCATTAGCCCGGCGTGCATGCTCCCCTGGCAAGCCCCATGGATCATTCAGTGGGTGGGCACCGTGGGTCAATGGAGAAGTCCTGGAATGGACTTTCCTTTGTTCTTCCCCTGCCCTCCCACCCTCTCGGTTCTCCCCTTGGCCTGTATACCCTGCCTAACAAAAAGGCAAATTGAATATTCACAGCAAGTGATTTACTTGTATAAAGGGCATGGAGGTCGAGTGTGTAGGGAGAAGCCACGTGGGCTTGGGTCCTTTGAAAATGTTTTTAGTGAGAGCAACTTTAGATATAAGCCTATATACTATGACACATTCAAAGTCTGCCTGTGTCAAAATTTTCCAAACAAAAGCTTATCCCAGCAGATTCTTTCTTCAACTGCATTTGTTAGAATTATAAAAAGCTGTCTTTTTTTTTTCTTCCTGAATCTCCCTCATTGAGTTTTAGACTTAGCTTAGATGTATTGGCCCTCTGTTCCAAATTTTGGCCTCTGACTGAAAGCTGAAACTTTGCCTCCCTTTCTAAATTTGATTACAGATGAATATCTCTGCTTCTAATTATGTCCTTA